TCTCCCCGTGCTCATCCAGCTCTTTAAGCAGGTCGGCCTGGTACGCCTGTAACACCGCCATGGTGTGCAGACACGCACCAGCCTGACCTGCTGCCGTGTACGCCTTGCCTACCAGCGCTGAGGTGGTCCGCAGCGGCTTGGTAGGCAACGCCGGAGCCTTCAGGGACGATGCAGCAGCAGGGGACAGATAGCTAGCTAGTGTCTGTTCAACCCTGGGCATCGCCCTGTAACCGGAGTAGTCCAGCCCCGCCACATTAGCATAATGGGAGGAAGTGGGGCTGAACAACCGGGCTGAAAAGGGCCTATTCCAGGACCTCCACACCTCAGTGTGGAGGTCCGGAAAAAAGGGCAGGCTCCGGGGCGGAGGTGGCGGCCTACTGCGTAAAAAACGCTCATCCAGCTTGGAGCACCGAGGCTCAGGCCGTGTCTCAGCGGGCCAGTCAATGCTCAGCTTAGCGACTGCCCGCGTAACCACCTCGAGCAGCTCCCCGTATTGAGGAGACTGCGGCTCTGGGTCGACGCTCTCCACATCGACCTCCTCGGAGGACGATAGGTGGAGCGCCGAGTCCGCTCTCCGGGGGGAAGAAACCGCAGAGCGTGCTTCCGAACCCAGGGAGGGGACAATGGACCTGGAGGGTGAGGAAGGAGAAAGGGACGGGCCCATCTCCATTCCCTCCGCCAGGTCCATCTGCGAGCCCCACGAGCGCAACCGCCGCTCTGCCTCGGCAGAAGCGGGGCCGGCACCGCAAGGCACGCTAGTGAGGGCTCCCTCCTCAAAGAGAGCCCTACAGGAGCGGAGAGCACGCAGCGGTAAACGCTCACAATGTGCGCAGTCGGCTCCCTCGAGAGCCGACTGAGCGTGCTCCGCTCCCAAACAGGCAACGCACAGACTGTGTGTATCCCCGCCCGTAATATATCGCGGACAGGGAGGAACACACAGCCTGAAGCGCTGCCCGCTCTCGCCCCTAGATTTGTCTTTGGCCTTTGGCATGCCGCCGACAAAACACAAAATAGACAGAATAAAGACAGACAATATACATAGAGCGCTTGCTGAAAACAGGAAGCTAACGCGGGGCTCGCCGCTCGGGCTTTTATGCTTCCGGGTCGCTACGTCACCCCGCCCGTGACGTCTCGCCCATCCATTGGACGGATTAGACACGTGATTCAGAGCGCGGTCTCGCGGGGGCGTTCCCATAGCGTTTCGTGACGCAGCTCGAGTTCCTGAAGGGGAACGCCATTTTACTTCCGGCCGAGTAGGAGAGAGAGATCGCAGGTTGCCGATTTACTGTTGTTCATCATTATCGTAATTATTATTCAACGCTTTTTAGCTCAGCGGACTTTATATCACATCAGCATGTGTTTTATCTCCATTAATGCTGAAATCGGGTTAGTTTCTCTGCGAACGCGCCAGCATGAGAGACTTTTACTAAACTTTACCCTACCAGCTTTTCTCTCTAACGCATGTTTGGGTGATTTAAACACTAAAGTATGAATGAACATGACTATAATTTTAGTTTTTGTGTAATGCTTTTTGTGTTAAATACAATGCTCCTCCTATGAGAGAGTGTTTGTTTGTTCTCTTTAACATGTCGCTGGTTAATTACAAGCTGAACTGTGAATGAACATGACCATTATTTTAACTTATTGTAGTGTTTATCAGTTTACATCTATTACACTATT